ATGTTATAGCCATTGAGCAGACTAAATGTGAGAGGTAAGTTTCTGTTCTATCACAATGGAGGGAAGCAATACTGATAATTTAACTAAAAATTACTCTCAGATAAATGCTCTTCATAAAATCTTATCTTTTATGTCAATATCCTCATTTTTTTACTATAATAGAGTGTTTTAGGGTTTTCTCTTACGTTTGATGGTTATTCTTGGGTCAGAGAAATGATCAACATTATTTGATATATACGCTTCATTTAGCCCATAATCTTGGAAAATTATTGATCACAAGTGGGTTCAATTCATGTTGCTTTGTATCTTTTTGAAATTCTAAGCAACTACTTTCCATATATTTCATCCATAAAATATTAGATGATTTGAAGTTAGAAGGGTAGGCCTCTTTGATGCACTATTGGATGCTCTTTTGTTCAACTCCATATTTTGAGCCATTTGCCATTTCGTTGGTTCTAGATAGACTTGCTTCTTCATTTCCATTAGCAAAGATTGAATCTTTGAAGTATTTGAATAAATTTTTGCCAATCTTTGGAGCTGAAAGGACGACGCAGTATGCCCAAAAAATTGATTTGCACACAAGAAGTTTCAAAAGAAAAGTTCTTCTTCCTTTACTCTTTTCTTGCTGTGATCTTTCATTTTCTTCAATCTAAATTGCATTTTCTTCAATCTAAATTATTTTCTTCAATCTAAATTGCAAGAAGATCTCTACTCAGTTTAATTGCAAGAACATCTTTCTTTTGTCTATTTGATTTGCTTAAGAGATAAATTTGTTATACAGTTAACTGCTTTCTTCAAAGATGAGGTCCTTTCTTCTACCCATCCCCTGGTTGGTGACATCACAATTGCTCTTAGAAGAGTGGGTGTGCATATGACACCAATATATGTGATTGCTACAAGTGACACAAAAGTTAATAAGCTGTACACAAAAGTTAATAAGCACACAAAAGTTAATAAGCTGTGCAAAATTGAAATTCTAAAGGCTGAATTGGATCCTCTCTTGGTATTTTCATTATTCTTGAGGGCTACAAATTATCTTCATGTATTTGTATTACTTATAGTGAACTTTGAATATGGAAGCAACAGTCTTATCTTACCCATTTTCTTGGGCTAGTTAAGAATATTATTTCAGTATCAACATGAAACACTTATGAAGAAACCCTTCTTATTCCTTACTTGATAGAAATGCTGAAGCCCGGGCTCTAAATTTTTCGATTGCCCATATTACATGGATGAAATTGCAATTCTTATGTATTTATTATGTATATATTATGTATATATTATGCCAAATCACTTCATCACTTTGAAACCCTTCTTATGTATATTATTTCATGTTGAATTCTTATGTATTCCTTACTTGAAATTGTATGTATTCTTATGTATTTATTATGTATATATTATGTATATATAAATTTTTCGATTGCCCATATTACATGGACGTATTTATTATATACTTGATAGTAAGTAACTCATGCTACACCCAATTCTTATGTATTTACTTTTCTAACTTCTAAACATAACCTTTTACATATATACCACCAAATATTCTCACTGTTTTGGAGATGATTTGTGTGCTTTTTGGGTGCGATTCGGTTGTTATTTTCATCCAATATTTCCACTGTGTTGGAGATGATTTGGGTGTTGTTTGGATGCGATTTTGTTGCTATTTTAGGCCAAATATTTCCACTATTTTTTAGATGATTTGGGTAAAGTTTGAGTGCAATTTGGTTGCTGTTTTGGTTAAATATTCCCAGTATCTTGGGAGATGATTCAAATGTTGTTTTGGTTCAGTTCCCTTTCATTTTTATGGGATGCTACTTACTATTTTGAAAAGTGTTCGAATGTGTTTTTATGGGCGGCATACTTACTATTTAGGAATGTGGTCAAATGCACTGTGTTCTTGGGCATTTTGTTGACTCGCTGCTTTGAAGATGGTCTAAAGGCAGCTTTTGCCCTGTGTTTTTGTTGACTTGGAGGGGATCATGAACTGTTTTTTTGCCCTGTGTTTTTGCTGATTTGGAGGGGATCTAGGACTGTTTTTGGCGTGATCTTTGAATGTTATTTTGGCTCTAGTTCTTATTGTTTAGAAGTTTTAAATACCTTTTGGGGATAATTTGCTTCTATTTAGAGGTTTTAATTATAGCTGTTTTGAGTTGTTTAAAGGCTGTTTTGGAAGATGTTTGATTGCTGTTGTGGTTGGGTTTCTTTCTTTTTCATTTTTTTTATCTTGCTTGATGGTTCAGTTTTATCTGCTTACCTAAATAACGCTTATTTTCAAACTATAATTGGAAATGTGCATAGTGTAGTGATAAATGGATTATGGAGCAGGGCTATAAGTTTGATGATTTGGGGTTAAAGGTGATGACGCAAAACGCTTCAGGTGCTAGAAGTAGGATAATAGAATAACATCTTCTACAGTGACGACCTTCAAAGAGGTGGCAAAATTGACGATGCTATTCACCAACTCTTGGTGAGAAGTTCCCCACGCTTTCATAGGTTTCTAGTGGCTCTAGTTCGAGCAGAGTGATTAACTTGTGGGCCACCTGATTTGCAAAATACACTAACATAACAAATAAATCTTTTCTTGTGACACTAATATTTTGTATTACTAAGTAGGATTAACTTTATATGCTTGACAAATTAAGAATTATAGAAGTTATCCTATACAAGTCCACTTCATCACTTTGATCGAGGCATGAGTTACCCTTCTTCAATTGTTTTGTTGGTAGCTTCTATCCGAGGTTGGACAGAAGAATCACACAGATTGCTTATGGTTGTCTATGGATGTCCTCAAGTATTATGAGTTTGAGCCTAACCCGAACCTGAATTATTATGGCCCTCCTTGATATTTCTTATATGCATTAATTGATCTTTAATATGCAGTTATGTCCATGTCTTTCATCTTTGTTTAATTCTTGTCAATATTTGTATGTTTTACCTGTAGTCCTAACCCTTTTAGCAGTAGCATCAGAGGCGATAGGTACGTACTACCACTCTCTATTTTTCTTTTAGTGCGCTCTACTGCTGATATCTTGTTTATACATGCAACATTACTATTCTATTATTTCTTATACGTGTAAAGACCTCTAATAGAGAACAGTAGGACTCCTGTTTAGGACCCTACAACAAGCTAGCGACTCAACAATAATGAATATCTAAATACACTTCTTGAAACCAAAAATCATCACCACAAGGAGCTTAGAGCAAGCCTACAGGGAAGTTACACGAGGCAACAACGTGATAAAATAGGAGGACTACCTCAAAGAATGATCAAGATTCAACATGAAGCGACATGTGATCCTCAATTAATACTTTTTTGTAGTTCTAAACAACACAAACCCGTAGAAATTTGAGGTAGTTCATCTAACACGACATAAATTCTTACTCAATCTTTCAGACATTTGTAGTATCGTATGTCATGCGATATAAACCCTAACTCTTTTTAGGATTCGAGGTCGTCATTTAGTACAACAGAAATCCTCATAAATTGTATGATTGTACATCGTGCATATATAAGTCCTAAATTTCTGATAAATTGCACGATTCAAAAAACTATAATTTCTTATTAAAAAACATAAAACCAATCCATAGGCTACTTTGAGATGTCATTTATGTTTCCTCAGTATCTTTGATATCTTCTACTTTTCACTCCTTTGGATTCTCAAAATAATTATTCCTGTTTGAGTCATTCCCACTTGGATTTTCTATAAACAACCGTAAAAACTAAACTTTGAATTCTTGAAGACGAAACCACTAATCTTAATCAAATGTTTTCATAAGTGACTTTGGTCGTTTAAAATGTATTTAACTATAGAAGTTTGCTCTTATAGGGAATTAGAAATCCAAATAAAATAAATTCTATCTAATCTTTATATTAGATATGAGGAATTGTTGGCCATAGAAAAAAAAGATTTTGCAGACCAAATGGATGCTACAGGTTCTTTAGTTAATATAATCAAGTCCGTTGTCAAGTAATACACTTACCTTTCAAAGTGATATATTACTTGTAGTGTTTTGCTCAATTACTCAAATTATTAAATATATGAGGTCTTTTCGATCTCATTTTTTAAAATAAAAAAACAGTTTTCAAACTAAATATAATTATTTTCAAAATAACTGACAAAATTCTAATTTGGTGACCGACGAGGTATTTATAAAAACACTCAAAACACCTATCATTTTTTTTAGTATTTTCAAAAATAAAAAGTATGACATCGTGTGGGACCATTTTTCTGTTGAGAACAAAATATGTTTGGAATGATATAATTTAAGAAAATAAATAAACATATTTAAAAAAAAAAGATAAAAAACATTAAAAAAATAGCCTAAGCAAATATGTTTTCAAAACAAAAAATAAAAACAAAAGTGATTCCAAACAAGCCTTGAACAATTACTTTTTAAGAAAAGCAAAAGAATAAGAAAAAATAAAATTGATCTGAAATGTGCCCAAAGTTGTGTATCATAATCAACTTAAATTTTATCATTTGTGTAAATAATATGATTGAGTTATAGATGTAGACGTCCATGATGCCATTGCTAATAACTACGAAGCATACATCCAAATCGATAGTTGCAATCAACGGATATGCTGATTATTTGCCAAGTCATCTAATTTTGGTAAAATACAAAGTTGACTGAATGATAGACTAAAGCTCATTTCAATTTTATCTTTACATAGATTTAGTTGCAACAAATTTGAAAGACTTTACAACACGATTGAATCATAGTTCTCTTCTCATGCAATAAAAATCATCTTTTAAAAATTTTAAGAAAGAATTCATGCTCTCAATTAAAAATAAAGCAATCTCTTTATATATATATATATATATATATATATATATATATATATCTCGAGAATTATGATTATTCACTCAAAATTTGCCTCATTTTATTAAATCATGGAATAGAAACGGAAACCCTTTTAACCAATCATAGAAGAATGCAATGGAAGACATTGCCAAAAGTATATTGCATAATTTATTTTGCTATTGAATTCAACAACTAGATAAAGTCTTATATAATAAGTTTGGTGCAAGATCAAATGATCTTTGGAATTTTTGGGCCATTTTAATCCCAAATTATTTAATAGATAACTCCATTGACAAGTATTCCATATTAGCTTTGATCTCCTTCTCCATTTGAAGTCGACGAAAGGTTGCTTCCTAAATAAACATGAGAGATAATATCATGGATAAATTTACATGCCTGAAAGAAGAAATTTACATATATGAAAGATGGATCTGTCCAAAGTTTACCTTGAATTGAGAATGGTTTTCCATCATTGCTCGCAACAATGGAGTTGACAAGAGAGATCAAAAGGTTCACTTGCTCCTGTCTCTTAACCTTATCTTTGGTTTCGTTATTAAAAAGAACAACTCTATTTTTACATAAGTGAATAAGGTTCTACAAAACAATAAATTATCAAGATAGGAATGCTAGACACCTTAAGAAATTTTGTGAAAATATGTAATAAAATTTGAGTGGAAACTGAAAAGAGGAAAAAGCATGAGGCATATCATCATAGAACGACATGTTGTCTGAAAATAATGCATTATTTTTACATTTGAATAAACTACATGACAAACTTCAATCATTTTGAGAATAAAAATTCTAGAGTTGAAAATAAATTCATCAACAAAAACTAAAAAAACAAATCAGAAACACTTGTTTAAAACTTCTAAAGATCAATAAAACCATAAAGAGTACAGTTATGTTAAGAGTATGCTTAGTTGGGTGAAAACTCAATGTAGAAGAATTTACATAAAAGCAATTATTTTGTTTTTGGTGGCATTTCTTATGTAGGAATTTTACTTGCAAACAAAATCAATTTGTCTGACCAAGTAGGACGCTTACAGTACAACATAGTTAAATCTAGGAACTGAGTTGACTTGATCAAATTTTTGTTTTTTTACATAAAATAGTATAAACATTTTATATACTTAGCCTAAGCCCCATCCCTAAAAAAATGGAATATATTATTATGTCCAATCCAAACCTTGCTTCAAACATCATACTGCAAACTTGGAAATGGCCAAATATTTTCCCTCATGAGTTGTACAGCCATGTTGTTATTATGATACACAAATAGAGATCAAAACTAACCTTAGGATGTTTTATTTTTCAAAGGAAGTTTTTTCAATATGACCCCCTCTGACCGAAAGAAAGGAATTATTCCCCATATCATTAGACACATTAAACTGCTTTGATATGCCTTTTTCGCAAACATTTTCGTTCATTATGGACTCACACCTGAATAGTTGTCTAAGCATTTTATCATCTAAACTTACATGTATCATTTGTTTTGAGATGTAAATCTTTACATCAACATAGATAATGATTTATATATATATATAATTGTAGTTTTGTTAGAAGTGTTATCGACTCAATTTGTTGTTTTAAAATGTGTGTTATAATGGACGGTGTTGTCTGGCTATGCATATATAATGCATATCATTTTGAGTATTTGAGAATCTTGAACCATTCTAAGGGAAACAAGAGCTGCTTTTCAACCCAAGCTTAGTGTAACTTTCTTTGTGTCAAGTTTTTTTCTTCACTCCTGTTCGGTCAAGCATTCCAAGCTAAGTAAGAAAGTTGGCTTGATTATTTTGATGATAAGGATCATCATGGGGTAGTTCCAAATGTCTACCTTACATAATTCTATTTAGGTGCATATATAGAGTGCACTAGGAAGAATCTTTTGAAATCCATTTGGACAATATTGTTGTCGACACTATTTTGGTTGAGAAGTTGCTCATTGAATGCTGTCGGTCGCTAGAATCGAAATCTCGTCGCAGCACTACACCTCAAGTCATGTATCTATCCCGAAAGCTAAACACAAGACTTGAGGGCCGGGCTCAATCAAATAAACTAAGAAATATATGACATATGTTTAGTCTGTAAAAGTATTTTATTTATAAGCCGACAAGTTCCCCTATTTAATACGACGAGTTAAATAGGGTTTATATTAAGCCGGGTTCGGAAAAACTTCCTACAAGGACAATCTCATATAGTTAATTTCATCTTAGATAACCGAAGTCACTTAAGAAAACTCTCAATAAAAATTAAGGAATATTATCTTCAAAGAGGTCAAAAGGAAAGGATTTTTCAGCGAGATCGGACAAAGGGGTGTGAAAGGAGAATGACTCAAATTTGGAACATTTTGTTTTGGAATCCAAAGGAAGAGACTAGGGGATGTCATAGATCCAGAGGAGAACCTCATTGACTTCCCAAGCTACCCTATGGTTTGGCTTCAATTTTGAAGGGAAATATTTAAATGTTTCATCCTGTCAATTATATTACTTAGGGCTTATATTCATGTGAAACGATCATACAAATAACTTGGAAGATGTGAGGATTTAAGTCTTGACGAACGACAACCTCGGAATACTAAGACGACTTAGGGTTGCAACGTATTTAGTCGTGCTGCCCACAATGCTTGCTCTAAGCTCCTCATCATGACAATTTTAGGTTTTCTAATGTGTCAAGTTATAATATCAAATCAGATATCCTTACAGGTCATGGTTATTTAAATGTTATGGGGTATATTAAAGTTGATTAGAGCGACACCGGTTAGGATCTTACGGTCCCCTCGTTCTAGCACCACTATTTTCTTTCGGCTTCACTTCGTCTAAATGAATTTACTAAACTCAACTTAATGAGTTCCATACTTTCATTTAGATACTTTCATTTAGATAGAGATAGTGGGAAATCTCATTAACAACCATAGGTTACCTCCTCCAAGGGATTCCCTATCATCCGATAGAGATATTTAATTTAGTTACAATTTTGGTTTTTTGTGTTGCTTGTGATTAAATTTTGAGTTATCTTATATTTTAATTGTTGTGGGGGTAAATTTTATCTTTATTGATTTTTAGTTTGGTTTTGATTTTACGGCTATCCTAAAAGTTTTAGTTTTCATGCAGGGTGACATCATTGTTTAACGCAAGCTCAAGACAAGAAGTACAAAAAAGGTAAATGCAATAATTAAAAAACGTACATGTCGATTCTTCTCGTTCCTCCACCTGAAAGGTTAGTATTTGCAAATCATGTATATAATTTTTTAGGGAATTTAAATTACAGGAGTAGATAGTAGATGAAGGTTTAAGTAGATGAAGGTTTAGCTACCAAACCCCAAGTTGTGACTTTATTGAATCTCAAATATGGAAGTCCAATTAGCCCTTTAGAATGTCCAATATATTTCAAGATGCTCGAGGCATGACCCTGGATCTCTTGAAATATTCCGAGTTCATTTTGGTCTTATCATATTGTTTCATTAATCATCTGAGGTTGAAGTATGAGTACCCTGTTGCTCAGTGAAACTTGAAAATTTTGATAGGAGAATCTCAAGGAAAGTTTTACACATTTTGAACCATATTTTGTATTTTTAAAAATTTAGATTATTTTAATTATTTTTAATTCAAAATAAACCTTGAAAATGACATATTTTCACAAAAATAGTTTTTATTTTTAATAAATGTCTCTGAGCACAAGGAACTTAGAAAACTATTTTTTCATCATTTTTCTAAGTTTATTTAATTTATTATAATTATTTTTGTACAAAAAAAGTACAAAGTTTCTTTAAAAATCAAATTTAATGCTTAAACTAAGTCAAATGATTTTTAAATTTTTACAGTAAGTAAATATGATTTTTACACACAATTTAGAATTAATTTTGTCAATTTTTTTTATAAATATATAATTTACATAAATTAACACAAGATATACACACTTAAGTAAATGTAGAAATTTACAAAATTATTTAAACCATCATGTTATTTTTTCTAAGCTTATCTGACCATAGGAAACCTACTAAAATTATTCTCATAATTTTCCAAGTGATCTTTTAATTTATATAAATAAAATGACCACCTTAGCTTGAAAATTAAGGTTAGAAGCATAGAAATGTCCTCTAACCTTGGAAAAATCAAAGGACAGTCTCTGCCATGAGGAACAAAGCCTCAAAATTTCAAGCTATGGTGAGCAATGTTTGATCATAATGAATTAAAATACTCCAAATGTTTGATCATAATGAATTAAAATACTCCATAGGGTATTTAATTCATTAAAAATCAATGAATAAGAAAATAATTTTTATTTTTTGTCTACATTATTCTCCTCTGTTCACTGAGTAAGCGTGTTTTTTTCTTTTATTTTTATAATTTTTCTAGAGCAAGATATGAATTTTTGAAGTTCACATATTTAAAACAATTCAAAAAAATTTATTTTTTCAACTTATCCACGCGGCGCCAACGCATCCTACGGTGGCTCCAAACTCATAAGAGGCTGACTCCCACTCGTTGTGCTTTCCACCTAGGCATGCCACGCGGCTTGTGGTTGATGCACCAAGAGTCTATCCTGCTCGATCTCCTCCATCCATTGGATACACGCAAATTCGGACAGCTCCCTGTTATCTTCCATAAATGACTTAACCCGAGAACCATTCACACCAAAACCTTAAGATCTCTGCCTAGACTCAACCAAATCACATGGGGCCTGTTTATAGACCTTCATCTACTCAAGACGAACACATATATATGGTTAATCAAGTATGAAATCAAGCCATTACACATGGATAGTTAAAATAAGCTCGGTTTAGGTTTAAAGCTCAATACCTTTGTTTGAGAGGGGAAGCCTCAATCAGATGGTTCTGATATCTTCGGTTGAGTCCAACGAACCTCCAGATGAAGTCCCAAGCCCTAGTGAATTGTCTAGGTATGATTTCGACCAAAGTGGATTTCAGGTGTTGGTCTAGAGCTATCCTAGAGGTAGTTTTAAAGGGGGCTTTGATGGGGAATCAACTCCTCTTAATCAACTCCTCTTTCGATGGGGAATCAACTCCTCTTTCTCTAGAGATGGTGTGTGCATAATTAATTTGAGTTTAGTGGACTGTGGAGGTGTGGAGAAATTTTTCCTGATTTTGGGGCAATTTTAGTGAATAAATTGGCTATGTAGAGTGGCTATGGATGGTTGAGAGCAAGAGGATTACACTTAGGAAGGTTTGAAGAAGCTTTGGTGAGATTTTGACAGAGTTTCCCCAAGTTTTATAGCTCTCTCCTGTTTGGCTGTGGAGGAGGTGAGTTTTTATCGAGGGGCTTGGGATGGAGCTTAGGCCACTTTGTGGGTGCAATAAGCTGCTTATGTGGAGGGTAGAAGAGTTCCGAAGAACAATTGGGGTTGGACATATTGGCTAAGTTCAATTGGGTCTGAGTTTGGTGAGGTGGCTCTCGGTTTTGGCATTTTTTGGAGAGTAGGGTGGCTGGTGAGAGTAGAGGAGGTGGTCAGGTGAGCCAATGGGAGGGTTAATTATGATTAACCTTTAATGGTTTAGCATGATGGAGGAGATTTCTTAGTTAAGACCCAAAAATGGAATGAAATCCCATAATTTAGGGACCCATTGGTCCATAGCTCACTTAGGTGGATTTAGCGTGGTTCAGCCTAGTCTAGAGGAGGAGCTTAGTGGCTGTGGAGGTCCTTGGTTGACCAATTTAGTTTGATTAAGTTAATTTAAGTGAAAGGGTCTATTTGGGTCAAGTGGCTAGAAGTTGGGTTTGGGTTAGGTTATCCATGATATTGAGCTGCATTGATTGATCAATTTGGTGTAGATGATTGTCATGAGGATTTTATAAAAGATTTAGAGTGATTTTGAATTGGTTTGGAGGTTCAATTTGGAGGATTTTGGGCATATGGTCAATTTAGGGCTTTTGTTTTAGAATTGGGTTTAGGTTAGGCTAAGGTTGGGTTAGGTCAAAATTGATGGTTCAAAATGGTCTAGAGGAATTTCATAAAGATTTTTGAACATCAATTGGGTGTCAATTTTGGGGTTAGGCATTCAATTTGGTGGAATTTGGATACACAGACAATTTGAGGATTTTGAATGTGGGTTAAAATTGAGTGAAATTCAGGCTTGAACAAGGTCAATTGAAGATCTAATTTGACGTATAAGATTTTCAAGAAGAATTTAGGATTCAAATTGGGTCAATTGAGTGGCAAATTGGGTATTTAGGATTCAAATTGGGTCAATTGAGTGGATCATATGGTTCAACTAGGTGAGATTAAGTTATATGATCAAAATTGGGGGTTTAATTTGGATCAAAATTGAGCTCAAATGATGGGTAAATTGGGCTTGGATTTGGTTTTAATTGATCATATGAAAGATGAGGTTGAGTTTAGAATTGAAATTGGGGAGGATTGGGGCCAAATTGATGGGTATCTGAGGTGAATTTGGAGAAATTGAGCCTTTAAAGGCAATTTCGGGCTTTTTGGTCAAAGTGGTCAAATTGGCCAAATTGGGGTTCAATTAAAGGGTCCAAATTGGTTTTGAAAGGGGCCAAATTGGTTTTGGGGACATTTAAAATGATTTTGAGGGTTTTAGGAAAGTTTTGGCTACTAACGGTAATTTTGTAATTTTGACAAATTTGGGGGTATTTTGGTAATTTTGGAATTTTTGGAATGTTTTGGGCAATTTGGGTAGCTTCAGATGGTTTGAAATGATTTTTGAACAAATTTTGGTATTTGGGATGAATTTGGAGGGTGAATTTGGGAATTTTGGACAAATTTAGGATTTCAAGGGCATGTAGGTAATTTGGGTGGATTTGGGGGCAAAAGGCCAAGTTGGATATTTTGGTAGAATTGAGGTGCTAATCACCTCATATGAGCTATGAACCAATAAAATCTGAGCTATGGACCAATGAAATCCCCATTTGGGTCCTCCATGTACTGGTCTTAGCTAAACCCCAGCGTAGGGCCAGTGGGTCTAGGGGACCATCTACATGAGTTTCCCAAAAGATCAAGGGATTAAAGTTAACAAATCTGTTAAGGTTGTGAGTGAAAGTGGGTGCAAGTGAGTGAACTAGCTCCTGACCAACATTCAGGGTCAACCTTAAGGCCAAGCAATCCTATGGGGACTCCCCTTGTGCTTCCTCTATAGTGGCCCCACCTACTAAGTGCTAGAGGCTGGGACCAGTATATGAAACTTCAATTTGAGCACAGAAGAGTTTAGAGTTTCTAATGGTGAGGGTTCCTTTTCTAGTTTTCTAGGAGTAGTCAACATGAAAGTCCAATGGCTAGACCCTAGGATACTAAAGAGGACAAAGCTAGACCTCAACCAAAAGTGAGACCAACATATAGTTTTTAAGGAAACACGTCATCAAGTTTGAGTGACCTCTACTCGACACATACTTAACTTAAAATATATTGAATTTTTAATTTTAGTCAAATTAGCTAGAAATGAATTCATTGTGGATCAAAATTTTAAAAGAATGATTGTTGGAAGAGGGATTGAAATAAAGAAATTTTGCAGGATCAAAAGGGCATATCAAGAAAAAAATGCATCATTTCTCATAAGGATTTTGACCTCTTCCTCTTCATAAATCTAATCTCTTGTTTTGCACAATTGAGTAGCATGATCCAGTTCTTAGGAAAAGATTAAAGTTGAAGTCTGATCTTGCTTCTGTGTGGTAGGGATGAAGGTGGTTTTCCTTCTCATACGTAGTGAAAATGAAAGGCTTGCAAGTGTAGGTCGACATAATCACTTCCTTTGTTACTTTGGTTCCTACTTGCACACAATCATGGAAGTATGGGAGCACAATCTTGTTAAGGTTGCAACTATTTGTGCTCTCATACTTCCATGATCGAGAGACTGTCTAAAATGATATCCCAAGAATGTACTAAATTTTTTTAATATATTCATTGAGGCAACACCTCAACTACCTCAAGGAATAAAGTCTCCAGATATACACTTCAAATGAAAAAAAAATTGTAAACCTTATTATTGCTAATGATATTTTAGCTTTAAGGTGTCTTTACACCGCTCAATTCAAGGGATGCAAATAGAATGATATTTTTCCAATATCTTTCTATTTCTATGTATAATGTCATAGTCATCACAAAGAACCTTACAAAATATGACTTCACCTTGTTACTTAGAATTATTCTTTATGAGTGCAAGAGATTCCTAGATTATGAATGACTAATGAATATGAGGAAGACATTTTCTTCAATGTATGCACAAGTGTTCAACATTGTCTTCAACTTTTAATGAACTAAAAAAGCAAAATAACCACTAGAAAATGGACAACCAACAAAGTTTGTTTAATATCTAAATTGTAAAAAAATAACCATGCATTGAAAGTAAAGTAACAAGAAATTTAAAGGTATATACAAATGTCATCATAAATCTAACCTTCATAGATACAATCTTCAGATTAGAAACTATAAAAATATACTAGATTTGTAGCAACACTAAATGTGTTAGCCAAAATTGAAGAGAAAGTAATGAAGCCCAAGTATTTTTATAAAGGTAGATCATAAAGAGAGAAGATAGACAACATACATAATGTCAACTTCTGAGGAACTAAATGCATCATAGTCTAGATCACTTGCATGCCATTATTCATGGGCAATTTAGTTCTTAATTTTGCATGATTAAGAAAAAGTATGCTCTAGTAATCAAATAGTCATTACAATTAATTATTTCCAATTAATTATAGAACCTTATCTATCTGGTGAATTGAAAATATCCTCCTGGTAAAGTTTGGCTTATGCAAAAGAAATATATTTTCTCTTGTTTTTCAGACATAAGAGCATGTATAGAGATTAAAATTCTAAATCCATTGAAAAACATATTAATTAGAAAGAGATAATGAGTTAAATATTAAATTGTTATATAATTTTTATTCAACCGAAGTCTTCAGATGTTCAAAACTAGCTTTATACACAAGAACATCAACCTTATATCAATTAAATAAAAACCACGAGAAGGAGTAGATCAGAGTATATATTATAATTTGAGCTTAATTTCATACATAAGTCACATAAAAAGAAAGAACACAAAATTTTTTCACGCTTCTATATAAAAAAATATTAAAAAAAGAAAATAATGCAATAATTCTTTAACCAAATAACAAACTAAATTATAAGAAATTTATGGATCAAACATAATAAAAGAAAAAGAGCTTCATGTACGAACCTCCAATGGCTCTGGAGGATCTCTAATGTACTCTTCAAAAGGTTTCTTTACAGCTTCAAGATTATCCCCGCCAGTATAAACTATGATCATGTAGTCAAAAATCATATCACCAAAGAGATCTTTAATATGATTGATAACATCCACATCTTCCCAAGTAAATCTACAACTTGTAGAGAAAACCATGAGTACTGCATGGAGGCCATCTTTTGCCAAATCAATGGACTTGAGTATCTCTTTATCAATGAACTCCGAACTAGCATCATAATTAAATAATCCTAAAGATGAAAAAAAAATCCTAATTAAGATCCTAGTTGCTATAAATGCTTTACCACATACCATGATAAGAGGAATTTTGAAGAAAACAATTACAATGATGGATTTACAAGAAAACCTATAAAGTTCCAATGAAGAAGAGATGTTAACTAAACTTAGTAGGAAAAAATATCAAAAATTGACTAAATTGGCGCCTCAAAGTTTGAAATCCTCACACATTGTTTAATATTGGAGTTTATTTAGCTTGATATTTTAAGGAAGAAAATTCCATTGAATTCAAAATTGAAAATTTTCGTTTACTATCAATACCCAAAACATCCCTAAGAAACGACTATAATTGCAAATTCAAAATGATTGTTAGATGTGGTGACCACACTTTTTTGAGGACCTTTTTTCTTTCTACAGAAGCCCAGTATCTAGCCTGAGGGTTACTTAATGACCTTCTTAGATGCCTAGAGATGGAACTCACCCACATATAACTTCAAACCAATTTTACAATTACTTAGGAGCCCAAGTTGAATGTTCATAGGTGGAGGATGCTTTAGGCAACCCATGAAGCCTTGAGTCCTAAGAATCCTTGTGATGACGTATCGACTACCTCTAAAGATCTAGACAAATCCCATTAGGCATGAGGCTAGTTTTAAGCTAGAGAAGGGTTACCATTTGTACCACAACCCTAGATTAAATAAGAAACTCCTAACATCTAAAATTTAAATCAAAATACTATTAAGCTACTAAAGCTTAGGTTTGAGCCCACCTAATGTCTTCCTCAAACTTAAAGAAACCCTAAGAACAAGTAATCATTTAAATAGATTAAATTCAACCCTAAGCTTAAAATACTCAACACCCTTAAAAGAAATTAAAATCAAACATACTTAATACAAATTCAAAAAAAATAAATTATTAAAATATCAAACTACCAAAGACTACCAAAACCACTAGTAAACTTGATCCCATAGAAAAAGCACTAAGATTATCAAATTAAACTTAGATCAAACCCAATTAAAAAATTATACATAATAAATTAAATTGATTAAACTGCTTAGTTAGACTAGTTAATCCTAAGAGTGTTAAATTGTAGGCACAACCATCCAAAAGCAACCATCATTTAAAGCCAAACCCTTGTAACACTAAAAGGCAAACACATTACTCACATGACCCAAATAACCCCTCATGACACTACAACTAAAATAAGATATAATTAAAAGTAAATTAAACACAAAACAAATATTAAAAGAAAACCATGCACACTTAACTAAGTGATCTATCATGTGTCTCCTTGGTCAAAGCAATCCAAATCAAACTCAAGAGGAGTCATGGGTTACCAAAACTGAGTCAATCCACCAAATCCATGCCCTTCCCAATTTGCTATAGGTCTTTCCATGCCACCTTCATGGCCATTGGAGCTCCATCATGCTCAATGCATCAAAAGTGGGGAAAGCTTCTTTAGCTCTACCCAAGCCTCTGAAATCCCTTTGCTCAATTCCCGTAGAGCCATTAGAGCCTCTTATTAATGTCAAGGCCTCTTTGATGGCCTCTCATGGCTATTTAAAGCCCCAACCTGAGAGTCTAGCAACACAAGAAAACTCTTGAAACTCATACTGAAACCCTCTATCCCCAACATCAACATTGCTCCCTCAGGCCATAGCGATCATGTCCAACAATTTCCAAGCCATCACCACTACCACATAACCTTAAATTCTGCTGTAAAAGCAAAGCGTTTTTACAACCTCGACATCAATGTCACCAAAAATCCATTCCAACACTTTCATTAGCTTCACAAGCTCTTAAAACCTTAACCCCAATCAAAATCCCTTCTTCCCACACCCTCTAACCAGCTTAACATCAATATGAACCACCTTTTATTCTAGCACATACCTAGGCCTAATCATAGATCAAATTGAAGCAAGGAGGAGGCATGTAACTCTAACGCAAAGCTTCTTAAGCCATCTAATTAAGGCCTCACATCTTGGACGTAGGTAATAGATTGAAACTCCTAAATCCCCTTGGCTGGGTCTATGATGAAAATGAACATTGCATGCCCACTTAGTTGTATAGATAGATTCATCTCACTTAGATGAAGTTAGAGGATCAAACCCCATGCAGTTTGGTTGAGTCTAGAGTGAGAAGCTAGTATTTGAGTGATGGCAGTTCTCTGATCTCTTCCTCGTGGTCATGAGGAACAGATGTCCAGTGAAAATCAGACCAGCCAGACCACAAAATCAGATCAGTGGATTAGATGGAGGCCACCTCACTAGCTTGCTTGGAAACAACAGTGAACTGTGAATTGCCACGTGGAGCATTAAAACATTCGAGGATCGATTCAACATCGTGTGTTTAGGTAAGAAAATCAAGTTTTTCTAAATTTATTAAAACAAAAAAATGCTTATAACCTTTAATAATTCATAACATAACAAATAAAAATTAAAAAAATAAAATAACAATACATCTAAACTCAAAGAATATAGGAAAAAATCATAAAAATAAAAAATGAGATTAATTAACTATATTTAATTTTAAATTAATTAAATACCTAAAAAAATATTTTAATTATAAAAAATAAATGTAAATAGAAAAATAATAAAATTTATAAGGAATAATCCCACTATCATTGGGAACTTTTCTTGGTTTTTTTTAAGGCGAGATGACTTACCTAACATCAAAAGTTATAATTTTCTATCAAAATTGTAATTATTTTTAAAAATAATTATACAAAATAAGATAACAAATAGAAAACTACAAATTCAAATGAAAATTCATGAAGAACTTTATGATAGTAAACCCACACACTAAAAATATAATTTTTCATTTTTGAAAATTTAAAGATTAAATTAACATATTAAGGGTAAAATTGTTAAATTACAAGTGTTGCCCTTTAGCCCAAATTGTCTCCTAAACTTAAATTAAACAAAAAATTAACTTATGAAAATTTTTATTACACCCAAATGAAAACATTAAATCAATTTATTAATTGAATAAGATTAATTTCATAATTATCTCTTTAATTATGAAATTTAATTTAAGGCAAACCCATCATTAACTTAAGGCAACTGGAATTTATCCTAAAATTTAACTTTGGTCTAACAAAACTTAGACCTAACTTAATTCAAAATTTAAAAGTTAACTTAAGTCTAACTCAATTAGACCTAACTCAATCTAAAAATCAATTGAACCTAAGTCCTTAGACCAAACTTAATTGAATTTTTAAAACTTAACATAGGTCTATTCCAATCTAGTCCTAACTTAATTTAAACTTAAATTTAACATATGTCTAACCCAATTTTGACCTGACTTAATCTAATTGAATTTATAATTAACTTAGGTCTAACCCAATGGACTGGACTTAACCCAACTTAACACAAATTTCAAACTTAGCTTGGGTTTATCATAACTTGGACCTATCTCAACTAAAACATTAAGCCTAACTTAGGTCTAACCCAATTTAGACCTAAATCAATTTGAACTTCAATTCAACTTAGGTCGACCCCAACTTAAGCCTAACTTAATTCAAATTTCAAAACTTAACTTAGGTCTAACCCAATTTTACCCAACTCAATTTAAACTTAAGTTCAACTTAGGTATAACCCAACTTAACTAAAATTTCAAAATTAGCTTGGGCCTAACAAAACTTGTACCTACTAAACTAAAACTTTAATATTAACTTAGGTAAAACCGACCTTGGACCTAATCCAAACATAACCTAAAACTCAAGTTTAACCCAACTTAGACTTGACTTAACCAAAATTTAAGCTTGACACAACTGAACCCAACTTTAATCTCAACTCAAGCCTAACTAACTTAGAATTGAATTAACTAAATAGAAAATTAGTTCAAGTCTAACTTAATTTAGAATTGATTTAACCAAATTCTAAACTTAACTCAGACCCAATTAAACTCAAAGTAATTTAAAAAAATTTCGGTCAACCTAGCCTAACCGGGGCTAAACCAAATCAAATTGAAATCAAACCTGGATCAACCCAACTTAACCTAGGCTAACCCAAAATCAAACTTAAACCAACTTGGGTCAACCCAGCAAAACCTAGGCTAACTCAAAGCTGACTTGAATAAATGTGGGTTAATCCAATCTAACCTAGATTAACCTAAACAAGACGTAAGCCAACTTGGGTTAACCTAAACTAACTTGGGCTAACTGAAATCAACTTAAAATTAAATTGGGTCAGTCCAGCCTAATAGGGTAACTCAAATCAATTGAAATCCAACTTTGATTAACCCAGACTAACCTAGGTTAACCTAAATCAACAAAAACAAATCAGGCTTACTTAAATTAACCTGATCTAAACTCAAAATTGACAACAGTAAATCGAGTTAAGAAGTGGTTGACCTCAAATAAGAGAATAAAAGCACACTTTACCTAAAATCTCACTCCCACGACAATATGGGCTGAATTGCAAAGTTTGTAATATAGATAAAAGGTATAACAAAAAACACACCTTAAAAATTATTAAAGCTTAAACTTTAAGTATGAAAAACAACCTGGTTTGAAAAGGAACTTTGGAGGTGAAAACTTATGATTTTTAACAAAGTAACTTCTAGTCACTCGTGACTAATTAAACCACAAACCAAATGACTTTGAGAAGGAGAAACCATGGGCTCTTGACTGAAACATTTCGAAAATAAATCACAAAATTTAATGGTCTAAGAAGTCTTAAACAAATTAAAATTTTCAGCCCCATAAAATCTGAAAAAGATACTAAAACTTAAATAAAGCAAAAATGAACAAAGACCATCGAATGCGACTTTAAATTTGCTACCTGGATCTACGAAGAACTATTGGATGATGCAACCCATGATTGTTGACAATAATATTTTAGTCAAGATAGGCTTGTCTACTTCTTTGGACTAAATAGATCAAGGAACACAACAACCTTAGGAAAATTGTTAGCCATTGGCAACTTGACGAAGTTGTCTCAAATAAAAAGAAAAATAATTAACACATTAATAATCGAACTAAACACATTTATTTTTCTTACAATAAAATGAA